TGATCGTTCCCCATGTTCATCGAACGTCCGAGATATACATAAGAAAACGTCTTAGCGATTGAAAAGCCTTCTAGTTTTATTTCTTAATTCTCATAAAAAACCTCATGAACTGAGTCGTTGTCCTATTGTTTCCCAGTCCTATCCGCTTCGCTACTTTTTCCAGTTCTTTCAACGTCATCTCCGCTTTATTGATATTTAAGAAAAGAACATGTCGTTTGCAAAATAAAGGCTCGAGAAGAATCTCGCGTTACCTCATACGTTTCTCGTTTCGATCCATTGATTTCATTATCCACTGCAAGCCGGCGTTAAAAAGCTTTGGCGACACTGTCACCCCTTTGGAAATGGAATGCTAAGCGAGGGATGAAAAGGCTGTATCATTGTAGAGCAGTCCCTGTTGTAGTCGGCCAAAGTCCCACCTTAAGATGGGTCCACCATTGGTGGAGCGCTGACAGTCTCGACGCTGTCAAACGCTTTCTCTTGATGAAGGTTAAAACGAGAGGTAGGCGGTACCCTCAACAAACCTCGATAATCATAACATGTAATCCATGCAGCTAAATCCCTTGTGAAATTCAGTTTTTTTTAAGGTTAGACTTCATCCAGTGTTCTTGATAGGCGAGTGAGGATATTCTCTGTGAATAGCTTGTAAAGCACGCTTCAGGCATATTAGAAAGGAGTACTGAAGATCCTCTCTATAGCCTTTTTTATGAAAGAGGATTGTGTGGGTCACTGGTTGGGTATCCTTTCCGCTAGGTGCGTTACAAGTATCTCTTATGCGATGACCTCCATCTCGTAAAGTGCTGGCCAAAACGTGATCCAGTCTGGAGCTGTGGCTGCATTCATGATCTGGACTGCGGCGCGTACAGCAGTTAGAATCTGTGATGGTTTCTCCAATGGGGATAATGGGGTTTGACACGTGTGTTGATGAGCGGAGGAGTTCGGTGTAGAATCACATCGTGATCGTTCATTTTCTGTCGGGAAGATGTGCTTCTTCTTCCGCTGACAACAATACTAAAAAAGAAGGTCCCTTTCTTTGTTTGGT